TGGAGGTAATCATGTAGTTAGGCAGCAATGTTTAATCTAGTTGGGGCCAGTAATCTCTGGATGTCAATATACAGTGTCATGCAGGGCCTTGCAGCATTTCAACATGGGAGATCTGTTACTTTGCAACATTAAAATCTGCATTTGATTTCTTACCCTCTTATCTGACTCCTCAGGGATTCGGTAAATCCAGCAGTAATTTGCGCCTGCCACTCTCGTGGGCTTTGACACAATGGCAGTCAAGGATTAAAATCAGGCTCCTAAAGCCATTACCACTTGCAGCTATCTGCCCTGCCCTTCTGATGGAGGCTGCCAGTGCCACCGCACTAAGCCTGAAAACCCAGTGAAGCAACTCCTGAACATTCCAAGCTGTTTATTAAGGTACATAGATCCATGCTGAATTTAATGCTTAGCTGAGAAGGGCAGCAGCACCGAAGCTGTTTCATAAATCACGCAGCAATCCTTCTCAGAGGTGGGGCAACAACTTGGGCAGCACCCACCTGAGCCATCTGATTTTATTCTGTGTCTCCATGTGAATGAAGCCTTGGACTTCATCAGTGTTTACAAGTTAGTAAATGACAAGCCTTCCCAAAAGCAATTGTTGCAGAACAGGGCTGCTGCAGATGCTTTGCAGACTGTTCTTTTACCCAGTGCTTTACAGACTCTCAGTTCTTGTTGGTTACTTTTTTCCCCCCACTATTTTGAACTTCTCACAGCCACAAGTGAAGCAGAAATGAGGGTTTGCTGCACACCCTCCTCTGAACCCCAAACAAGAACTGTGTTAAGTCACTGTCTCCACGTTGAAAAATAAACTCTCTTTCAGACACCTGGGTGCAGTTTTATAGCAAACTCAGAAGTATTATGGAGCAAATTATACAGGCTCTTATTTACATGTTCGTATTATACAGAGTGAACAATCAAAGTAGTTGCTGATTTTAAATGATAAACTTTTATTCTGAATATACTGTTTTTGCACAAGAATTAACACAACAGTTCTAGGATTATAAACTTTTTATAACATTATTGTACAAATTTTTACAAAAAAATTATTTTTCCAGGCTTGTCAAGTTCCACAAAAGTGTCAAGAGAACACAAGAAAAGGGAGAAAGACCTGCCTGCCTTGAGAGAGCAACCAAGTCTCTTTTTGCAGAAACGCACACTGAGCATTTCAATAAAAATATCCCAGAAAGCATGATCCAGACATTCCATACAACACAAGAAGAGAAGACAGCTTTGTCAGATCACAATCACAATTCATGGCATCTGAACAAGACAGTATCCCTTTAGCCTCAGTGAAATTATTTCTTCAAGATGATGTTTTTCTTTCAAACCATAAACAGGACAGATGCAAGTAGCTGGGAAGAGGGTGAGGCTGACTTTTCAAAACTCTTGAATTCCTTTCAGACACTTTGTTTTAATCTTTTTACAATAGTTTACAATGAGTATTAACAATATTAACATTGCGGTATGAAAAAAATCATAATAAATCTGGCCTTTGTTAAAGGCGTGGATGTCTGATGGAGCGAGGGTAAAACTTTTCCTAAGGAAGGAGTTATGAAGATTTCACCTTCAGTTGACGTTCCCAAAACACCCCAAGTGCGTTGCAGTGCCCTGTGGGCATTAATATACTTCTTAATAACCAGTGTGCTAGCAACTGAATTTGTAGGACCAGTGGGACTGAGGTTGTGTTTTGAAATTAAGACACACTAAGCACATTTTCTGAGCTTAAGTGTTAATGGGAACAAAAGGTCTTCATGTCTCTCCAGCGATACCGAACCACAGCAAGTAACACTTGGGTTGCAAAGGTCACTTAAAAGGGATACTGCCTACCTGAACCCAGTAAGGCCAGTTTTTAAGTTAGTAAAAGGAATAGGCTAAGAAAACTTACAAATGGCAGCAACACTGTTTTTTGTCAAGTCAAGCAGTAAAGCCTCAAGCATTAGAAACATGAAAAAGATCATACTAAAATCTTAAAGGTACAGGACCTAAAAATCTTGTCAATCAAACCTGCTGTGTCATGTTAAAAACCTGTTACAAATATGGACCACGATCAGTGTTTTGGCAGTAATGCTGGTTGTTTAAATGAAAAACTGGAAAGAAACCTTTCATGTTAGGTCCTCAGATCATGTTTTGCAGAGTACCATGCTGTAAAAACTTTAATGGTGGTTGTCAGACGTACAATAGGCTGCATGACTTCTGAACTGAAACAGTCCCAACAGTTCCCTTAGTACTAATTAAAGGATCTGAGCAGATATCAACAGAGCTTTTTATCTGGCTTTAAAACAAAAAAGCCCCTTTTTACAACATATTGTAATTTGAAAATGTCTCAATTTAAAGCCTAGGATCAAGTTTCTTCTCTCACAGACAAGAGAAGATGACTATTACACATTACGTGAGAATAAGGATACTTTTCTGCATGAGGATATGTATTTGTTCATGCAAGTTATTTCTAACAGACTGGCATTCATATTTTGAGCTAGCTAGAGTTCACATTGCATTTTCCATCTGTGTTTTGTAATTTGCAGATATCTAGGTAGTGCATTTTAAAAAGTTGTGACCCTCACTTGGATAGAATCAAAATATATATTGCTTTCTGCAGAAAGAAGCCAAAATGTCATTTTTTCCTTTTTAAAGAATTGAGTTCTGTGGGGAAAATACTAAGTCCTTCTGGGAGGGCCAGATCCTGAGCTTTCTATCAGATGGGTATAATGGGTGGAAGGCTAAGTGTTCATACAGAAACATGTTTCTTCAGGTCATGCAGAGAGGCAGAGGAGAGGAACAAAGGGCATTTCCCTCTCTGGATAACCCAAGAAGACTGATGTATCTGCATGGCATGAGCTTCTCCCTCCTTTTGTATTTGAGCACTCTAAGGGAAGTGGGATGAGAGCAAAAGCCACAGTTGTGTTCTGTGGCAGCACAGATTTGTGCCATCTTTCTACCCACAGGCTCTAATCAAATATTTATTAAGTAACTCAAAATATGGCCTGCCAGTGTTACAAAGTGTTAAATAACATAACTTTTCCATGCTTTTGGGAAGCTAAGTGAAGACTATACAGGACAACATACTGACAATCTCTTGAGAAATTAAGAGCAAAATGCAAACTAATGTGTATTTTAAGTAATCTTAGAGTAAAAGCTATGAGTGTAGTAAGCATTGGCCTAATCCTACAAAATTTGTTCCTCCCATAAAATTTCTATTGACCACATTAAGGAAAAATACAGGATGCAGTCTCAGCATTAGAAAGACTCAAACTAACTGTTTATGAGATGGTGACCGGTGATAGGGTGAAGAGAAGTTCAATAATAGAACTGGAATGAAGAGCTCCAAGATTATTATTATTATTATCCATATTATCAAAATTAGCTCACCTTCCCTGAGGAGAACCTGAAGTCATCCAACACAGTTAATTGTCCTTTTAACCCCATGACTTTACTAGAGATATTTTTTCTTTAAAAGCTAAATCTGTTCAGTGAACAAAAGGTCAGGGTTTTTTTTTTTTCACTTGCTGTATTCCCAAACATAAGAAAATACACAGCTGGAGCCAAAGTACATGAGAAAAACAATGAACCAGCCATGGGTACCACTACAGTAGACATCTGATCTTTAAGCCATGCCATGGCTTTCTGTAGCTTCTTCAGTTTTCATAGGATATTAACGCATGCCCAATTATTTCTTTAAGCTTTTGGCATGATTAAAATTATATCGATCAATTGCCAGCACATACATACCAATGCTTTGCATTTTCTTATTTTTTTAAAGAGCTAGTGTATTGTGCCATGTTAATATTTGCATATTGCAGTTGTTAGCAGAATTGTACAATACCAGCAGAGTTGCACATTCATTGGTTTAGCTGTCTTGCAATACTGTTTAGTTCTGAAAACTAGGAAAAGCGCAAATCATATTTTGCATCAACACTGTGCTACACTGTAATATTGTAATTTACTGCACCAACCTGTATCACCAATGAGGTTGTATAAAAACAACTTCTAAAATTATTATTCACAATCAAGTATCAATGTGCATACATATAGATTCAAGGCTCCCCATTTGTTTTTTTTTTTTTTCTAATCTCAGCAACCAGGACATTTTGCTATTAAATATGCTATTTTCAATAATAAATAGCAACAGCAGAAGTTTTAATATTATGGGTGTATTTATATGAAGGAAACAAAGGGGGAACCTGATATGAACCTTAGAGAACATATACTTCCAAAAATAAATGTGTTAAATCTGATTTTTATATACTTAAAATATCTGTACACAGATTTTTATGCGAGATCACTATTCTGTAAAAAATCCAACTCAACCCTTTTGTCACGATAGCTAAATTACCCTATCTTCTCAGCTTTTTCATTACACAGTATATTCAGAGCTCTGTTTTATAATATAATGATTTGATTGCAACACATTGCAATGTTCAGTTTCTCACACAATAACAGAATCACTCGTTTACCTTTTCAGTGGACTATACTCTACCATCAAAGAAAACAAACTGAAAAACAATAACATAGCATCATCATCATGCAGAATACCCTTGGAAACCAACGTTCAAATATCACAAAGACAGGTTTTATTCACAAGCATTTTTGTTTGAGCCTTTGAAGAATTCTACTAGCTTTATGTATAACTGCATTGTGAAAAGAGGGTGAACATTACATTGAAATTAACATTTTTCCGACAGAGGATGACATCAAGTTTAAGATGAGAATCACTTTTTAGTTAAACTCTCAAGCACCTTTATATTTTTAAAAACAGAAGTTTCCCTCCTTCCTTCCTTCCTTCAAACAATTTCTCAGCCTACCAAATCTTAGGTGGCTACATGATTCATTTAGAAGAATAAACCACTCATCATAAAGTATTGAAATCATGCTGAACTTCTGATGACTAGCCAGTATTTTCATTTGATTCAACTAGTTTGGACAAAACTGATGCTCAAAGCAGCCACCATGGTGCTAGTAGTGCAGACTGGGGAGTAGGTTTTCTTTTTTCTTTTTCTTTTTTTTTTTAAATAACTGTTCATGTAAAAGAATATAAATCTCCAAGATATCCAAAGCTTAAAAGAAATAAAAATCATGTACATAAGCTATTGTCAGGGGAGCCCTTTTACATGAAGTCATCAAGATTACAACAACAAACAAACAAAAGGAAAAAATAATCTTAGATTCCCCAATGGAGCACATACAGAATTCTGTTTAGATGGTATAGATGATGCAGCATTCACACACGTTTAAGGATCTGACACTCCAACATGCAGCCACCGTGGGTGCCTTTATGAGTCTCGCACCGAGTGATAATCAGACACGAGCACTGCTGTTCTGCTGCTGCCTGAATAGCTGACCCTTTTAAAATGAAACTGAGGCTATCGTTTTGGCCGGGTCTTGATTAAGTTATGCAGGTTTTGGTTTAGCAAGGTCATAACTGGTAGTGTCTGCTGCCAGATAACAGCCAAAGCAGGACCAACTGAATTCCTACCATAGACCACAGTGATGGACTCAGACCAGAGACACCACCGCAGTCGGCCGAATCTTCCTGTTGACAAGAAAAGAAGAAATTATTTAAAATTAATTACAATTAAATTTCCTGAGAAGTAATCTACACTTTAGCCTTCAACATTGTGAACTATTCTTGAGGCATCCTTTTTGGTCTTATACATGTTATCTTGCCTAAAATAACGGCAAAGCAATTCCTGTAAATTTGCCTGTTTTTTATACAGAGAGTGGCAATGCTACGCGGGAGGATTAAATACTTACAAGGCTTACTGCAGTCACTTATGAACTAGATGGGATACTTACACACTCAAACAAGAAATGCTATAGGATATGCCACCAGGGCCTAATAAACCACACCTATATTCCTTAAAAATTACATCAATTTGGAGATTTTGAGTATCACTTTATTTTGAGGAAAGATGGAAGAATAGATACCTTTTAAAGATTAGAAAACAAATACCAGAATATGTTCATGTCTGTTTCATCAACATGGCCACACACTAAGATGAATATGCTTTGCAGGTGGAAATATGATCAAAGATAATGAAAAAACTTTCTCTGTCTCTGATACTGTATTCAAGCACAAGAACCAAATTTTCCATTGGCTTTTTGTACACATTTGATGCAGTCTCTGGAGAAGACACCCTCCAGCTTGAGGACGTGCTCTGAGCTGCACCACTCTGTCATGCATCAATGGGCCTAACTATTCAGCACACCATGCAGCAATCACACCTCTTTTCCCCATTCCTCTTTACTACTAATCGCTGTTAGTCAGTCCCACTCCATTCATAATTCATAATGTCTTTCACATTATGGAATTACTCATTAGTCTGGCTGAAATAGGTTTGATACCTGTTCTGGACTTAATAACTCTTCACACCTTCTTGTTTCTCAGAACTGATACAATCTATGTTTAGCTGCCTAGAACACCAGGACAATGTTCCAGCCATCCCCTGCACAGGTAGCTCTGAAGGCTGAAAATAATTAGTCTTCCTCTTGTTTTCACTGTATTCTGTACCCACGCTATAAACAGACACTTTCCATTTTCCAAAGGATCCCAAGCCTTCAAGGACAAGACAACAGTGTAGGTGGGAAGGGACTTAGCATATTGTAGGAACTGGGGAAACTTCTTGAATGGGAGGAACATGTGCAGGGAAGGACAGACTGCACCTTAACAGTAACAGAGCCCATCTGCTTGCACAGACATTAAAAAAGCTTTAGAAAAGAAAGCAGAAGAGAGCCAATGGACATGAATAGCCGCTGGTTCAGACTGACATGTCACTGAGGCACATGTAACTAATACTCAATGTGCCTCAGAAAAGGTTGTGTGGGTTAGGGATAAAAAGTACAATCAGGATAAACACGGAAGGGTCCTTAAAACACCTTTAATTTATCGGCACATCCTTAAGCAAAACTTTCAAGTGCTTCTACACTAATTCTAGGCACACAAAATTAAAATGTGGGAGTGAAGGCAAGCCATCAATGAACTATCCCAATCAGAAAGCTGGTGGAAGGAAAATAATCAGTAGGACAGAGCATTGTCAGGCTACCAACTTTGTAAGACTGGCAGCATATGACATAGAGCAGAAGTATGTAAAGTATTAAAGGGTAATACAAAGTGTAACAGCATAAAAGTATTACAGGAAAATGAAAATGTCATGGAATCTCTGTAAGGGTAAGAAATATCAGAGTCTAATAATAAAAATGTAATACTAGAATTGCACTACTGAGTACCCTGTCAAAGTGACAATATCATTCATGAAATGTTATGTGAGATTAGAAAAGCTATGTATAAACTGAATCAATACTTTATCAAAAAGAGATGCAGACATCACATTTTTGGATATGATAAATGACTGTCTTTTGGAATAAACAGTATTTGAATCTTTACTGGTGCATGGGGCCCTCTTCGAAATCATTAGTAGAGAGGTGCTCTGTGTAGCTCTAGTGTAGCTCCAGTAGACCACAGTGCAATAGCATTTAGCTTGTGTAAGAGATCAGACCAAACAAATCCAAACCAAAAGATACCAATTTCAAGAAAGGGAACTATGTGAAAATTACCAAAAGCAGTTAACTACTGCCTCCACCACCACAAAAAAAAAAAACAAAAAAAAAAAACCAAACCAACAAGCCAACCTAAGGAAACAGAAAAAAACAAAGAAACAAAAAACACAAAGGAAAAAAAAGAGTAGAAGCATCATCTCAAAAATAAGAATATTTAGAAATATTGATTTAAATATCCAGGTAAAATGAATGACAACATTAGAACAATTAACCACCCAATCCTCAACATCCTCCTCCCCCCCGAATCCAACCCCCAAACAAATTACCTCCCAAAAATAAACCAAACCCAGCCACCCAAAGAAGCACCCCTGCATGAATCAGTAGGGAAATTAAGTACACTGTCATAGCGAAAAGGTCAGTATTTAAGAAATCCAGTTTACTCAAATGGATAAGAACGGGAAAGCACATGAAAATGGCAGATTAGATAAAACCAGGAAATTAAGAGGGCTGATAAAGATTTTTTTTATGACCTCCCTGCAAAAAATGCTTAGAATAAAAATAGAAAGTTTGAAATAAATCAAAAGCATGAAGCCAAATACAGAGTTAGGGCAACTGCTTGATAACAGAGGTGTAAAGAGGGAACTTGGGGATTACAGGGCATAGCAAAGGACTTCGATGAGTTCCTTGTGTCAGTTTTAAGGGGCAAAGACTTTAATGAGATTCCCACTACACACAATGCATTCTTTTTAAAGCAAAGAAGTGATAGGAATCAGAATCAGTTTGGAATAAATATATGGCAAATCAGATAAAGCAGTCAAAGTAGATTCAGTAAGTCATCAGAAATTACAGCAGGAAAAAAAAAAAGCAGAAAAAGATAATAATTTCATTTTGTCCTAAAGCAAACAGTTCACTTTAGCTGCCATTCTTTAAGAATAGTAGCCGTTTCCAGACATAGTCTCTGTGATCTATTAGCTTTGTAACTTAGTTCTGTAATTTTGGCTTAGGCTTCTATTTTATTTTAGTTGATTGCACTCTGCAAGTTCAAAATTCCTAAGTTTTACGGTCAAAAGTAAGTCATACATGAACTCTGCTGCACTAGATTTGGAGTAGGATGCTAACATTTGAAGATGCACTGAACTTTCTGGTTTATTTAGTTTGGCTCTGTCACTTTTTTGCATCTGCATTGTGTCTTGTCCTGTAGTTTAGTTCTATTCAAAGCAACTAAAATAATGCTGTTTTTTCTTCCTCACAGTGACTACCATCAGAAACAGAATTATCAGTAATGGTTTGTTCTAACATGTATTCAACGAACAGTACTCCATGTTACCTCTTGGTTTTGATGATTCTTATCATTAAAATTACTTAGAAGAGTCATCTTTGAAGAAATAGTCTAGAGAAAAGCACAAGGTTTAAAATTTTCCAAAAGAGGGGAGATGCCTGGAGAGTATGAAAGAAGTAAATTGAAGGTCTTAAACAAAATTGTTCATAATATGAAGGGAAAAATATCATTATAGTGAAAACAGCACCCAGTATGAATACAGAGTAGATGGACCTCCACATATATAATTATACAGTACTCAGCTTTCATGTCACTCTGCATTATACCAAATACTGGGAAAAATATGTTGATTAATCCTACCACTATATATACTTAAAAAAAATAAATCCATTCTGCTGCTCATTTCTGTTCACTTTTTGAGAAGTTTTTTGGTTTGTTTTTTGTTTGTTGTTTTTTTTTTTTTAACCATATGACACTATATATGGGCACTGCTTTTACATTCAACAGTTATACTATGGAATATTCATATTGGACTGAAAATAAATTATCTTAATATCTTTGTTCTCTCCCTGAGACTACACAGAACAGTTTTTAAAGGATTCACAATATCACAACACTGGAGAATGTCTTGAAAGCCTCAGGCAGGAGAGGCATCTTCTTATGAATGTCAGAGTTAAACTGTACTAGACAAAAGTATACAAGGTTTATACACATATTTCAAGGTTGGTGAGATTTTAACCTAATTTTGATCAAAGTCATTGAATTTCTGAGGTTTTACCAATTTAGTGTGGTAAACCAGCAGTTCTGCCAAGAACAATTTCTAAATATTCTCTCTGGAACCAGTTATTCCTTTGTATCCTAAGCCAAGACAAAAATAGTAGTGACAAAGAAGGTACAGTAAATCCTAGCTAAACTACTTTTTCCTCCCCAGCATTGCACATTGTCATTTTCTTGTGTGCTTTAACTGTTGTGAAAATTACAAGAAATGAGATCCCATCTTTAACCTGGAACCAGATCGAGCAAAATATCATTTTGGAATGGTCTTCAAAACGTCATTTTTGAAAACACTTTCCCTATACCTGAGCTTTAAGAAAACTTCTGTTTCCTGTAATCACTATTATTGATGTTTCTCATAAAATTTCTTTTAACAAATTACACAGCATCAGTTTTTAGTTTATCTTTATCTTATCTTTACCTCATCCAGTGCAATTAGACACTGAACTATTTTTAAGGAGTTTCATTGAAATTGTCCAGCCCATTGCATTACTCACTGATACATTAATCACACAGAAAACCTGTATAACCAACAGATCGGTTGGGGATGTCCTTTCCTTCCTGTCTTCAAAATAATATTCAGTATATTATTTCTCTTTGAAGAGATAGTTTCGTTTCATCAGAAGTGTATCCGAAATTTCTTGCATTAATAATTCACGTGTCAAGTTTCCTTGCATGCTTGAGGTAGAGAAGCATCAAATCCAAATGTCACCTCCTTCATGTCATGCATTACTATGATAACTCTAGAGAAGGTGATTTTACAACATTAAACTGAAAACTATTCAACTCTTGCAGAATGGAAATGAATGCTTTTGTAAAACCATATATTCACTGTTAAGTATCAAACCTACATATTCATTGATAAATATCAACGTTACCTTGAAAGCAGTGCCAGTCCAAAATTTTAGACACACATGCAACTATAAGTACATATATATATGTATACACATATGTCTAAGTCTATAAAAATACTTGTTACTCCTTTAGAAGCACACTGTAACTATTTAATGTACTGAAACTTTGTCTCGAAACCTTAATCAAAGGATAAAGCAACAGTATCTGCCAAAAAGCTTCTGATCTGGCCTTTGACATAACTGGTTACTTCAAAGTTATAACTTTTATAGGCATATATTTTAAATACTTCATATTGCATGGAGAAGACCTTTGCTTTTACTCAAGAGTCATTTCAAGTTCCAGTGCATGGTCTTTCACAAATTTGTGTTACCCTCCTTTGGCTGGAATACCACACAAAGCTGCCAAAGCTGTACAGCTAGCCACACAGATCAGGGATACAGCCAATCCCATCAAGATGTACACAGTTGTCTGGTCTGCTAATCATCCTCAAATCTCCATCTGATGTCCATGGGAGATGATGGCAATAAGACATTCCCAGAAGGGGTTAAAGACTTGTAGAGTTCTCCTTATTCTCAGGCATGGCCAACAAAGAGTTTGCATGTACAAAGTAAGAACAAGCTATTCAAGGTGACGGTGAAGACTATTTTGTTACCCTTGATGAAAAAAACCCCAAACCAGCTGCCATTATTGAACCTGATCAGATGGTTTGTATCTGTGTTGGCTTCAGTGACTTTAATAAAACTACACAGATTAATGTTCAGTGAGAATCCACTTCCAAAATCACAAAGTTATTAAAAACAGGATGGATGAACAGAACTACCTTTATAACATTCTGCTGCCAAATATCTATCACCTAAAATCAGATTTTATATGTTTCCCAGTATTTTGGTTGAGAAGAAATACCATTTTGAACATAAAGAATTCAGCTCAAGGTGAGTCTCTGCTGCTTTATGTACATTGGACAGTAGCCTTTTAATTAAAACAAGGTTACTTGCACAGCAAAGTGCATGAGTAAGAACATGAGATGTTAATCTTCTAGATTTTAATGTGAAATACCACTGGCTTGGGGGAAGGGACTTTGACCCTTTCTTAAACCTTTAGCCATAGTTGTGCAAGTTCCTAGGATTGCTAGAAATTACATCATTTAAATACAGGCTAGGAAACTCCAAAATTACTCTGTTAAACTCCAAAATTACAGCTGTTAAACAGAACTTGAAGCTTTTTTTCACTGATGTTTGAGTGCTATTAATTGAACCTTCCCCCAAGTATAAAGAGAATATAAATTATTGAGAAAATGAGTGTTCTAAATTGTTATTATTTTCAATATTTTACTATTCTACTACACTGACAAATGACCTCTTAAGTTTCTATTTCTGCCTATCAGTTGCTTCACTTTGATAGATATGTTAGTATCTCCCTCTAGTGGTTTTCTGAGTAATAATATTGACCAGAAACCCCTAAATGTAAAAGGTCACAAATTTTGTTTCCTTTACATCAGCAGTTCGCTGCATACTTGTCACTAGCACAGCAATGCACACTCAAGCCATTAAATGTAGCACAGTCTAAAATGCCACGGCTTTCGTTATGAGCTCTGGAGTCTGCAATAGGTCAGTAACCCGGATGTCAGGTATCTGTGTATTTCATTAGAAGAAAAAAACTGCTGCAATTAGGCAATGAATATGTTCAGGTTGCAAAACAATAAAAAGTAAAAATATAACTTTATGAATTCATAGTTTAAGCAAGTTGATATGCACTGTTACCTTCCATCATTAACATCTGCGTTAATGTGAATGCAGTGAAAACTCCTTACTCAATAGCAACACTCACTCATCCTTCCTATCCCAACACACAGCTTTATTTTTACAGGTATTATAAAATCCCCTCATCACTTCGTACCTTTGTGTAGAAAACTTTCTTCTTCTGTTCATTTTAAGAGGGACAAGGGAAAAACATTCTGAAGGGAATAAAACTGACTCAATTGGTACATGTGCTATCTCAGGGTTGACCAAACAGGTTCCCATGTCTTTGTATTTGCTATGGGAGAGGCCCTTGTGTTCTGTAATTGTGATTTACAAGGCTCCAGATCATAGGGTTTTTTCATATTTCATTTCCCTTAGCATAGCAATAGTAATTTGCTCCAGATTGCTGCTTTTGGGACTCGCTTCATTCCGTTTTCTTTTGTATGTTTAGTAAGTAAAAGAGTCTGCTAATTTTTTAAGCCAAGAACAAAACAAAAAATTAGAGAAAGGAACTGACCATCCACACCACATGAAAACTTGCAGAAAAATGAAGATAGGAGCGGACGTCATGGCAGAGGCACGACTCGTTGTGCATATAGGCTGATCCTATTAATAACGGGCAAAGTAGCAAGTAGAGGAAAGGAAAGAAAACACAGAAAAAAAGACACACAAGATGAGATATCATGCAGATTGCTGCAGTTAGCAGAGTTAATGTGAAAGCATCCACCCAAGAGCAAGAGATTGACAGCAAATTTTGCAAATAAACTTAACCAAAACAATCCACTCTAATGGAACACATGACTTACACACTGATTAGCACATCAAGCTAGTGAGCAAGAGTTGTACTTTCACACACAATTGTATCAGGAAGGTTTGGATAACATTTACAGTGGTCAAATAGCTTTTGGATGGTTTTTCAATTCTGTTTAAACTTTGTTGGCCAGTAAGAAGACTTCCTTTTTAAAACAAAATATAGTTACTAGAAAAAATGCATCAAATACCAACTGTCTGGACTTTTTTAACACTACTGACATCTCAGCAAATGTGCCTCATCAAAGAAAAGCAGAGAATATACCGGAAAAAACCTTGGTATACAGCAGTTATAGCCAACAAAGTGCAGTAGCTTTGGATAATCTTTCCTTTGCACAAATGGGATGAGGCATTATAAATGCATTTTAAAAACATTTATTTTATATAATGGCAGTTATTTACATGTTCAGTACTTTCTAGCTTGAAATCTATACTAAACATTTTGAATTCAACATACTTTCATACAGTATGTTGAAAGGTAAGACAGAGTATATTCAAAATAATCTATACATGTGGCACAGTTATCATCTCTCGCCTTCAAAACTGTGTTGCATACAATACTGGGAGTATTAAACAGCATAGTTTTGCTGACTTCAGTAAAGCAATGCTCTTTAATACCTGCTAAGAATACAACTCAAGGTCAATACATATCTGAAGAATTTTTAAGAAGAGCAATATCCTAAACCAGATGTTTTAAAACATTTAACACCACCTTAAATAATATTTGGAAATACTAATATAAAATATTACTTCTAAGCTAGGATTATTATCTACTTGTGAAAGCCACAGAAGAACTGATTTTGACAACACTGCACAGAGACCATCAGTTTTATGCTGATGTGTTGGTTTTTTTTTTAGTGGGAATCATGTGTGAAAGTTCAATGGTTATAGGAAAGGCAGATAAGAAAGCAGCTGTTAATTTTATGTTAATCATGGGATACTTGAAGTAGAGTGGCTATGGTCTAGAGTGAACAGTATGTTTAGTGATAGATAAGTTACCAGACATCAAGGTACATTTAAACATAGTTTTCACTGCTCTTCTAGAACAGTTCTACAAGTGTTTTTGAAGGTAGTCCTAAAGTCTTACAAGTTCAGTTTTACCTGTTTGGCTTCATCGAAACAGACATCAGGACCTTTTCTGTATCTAGGTTGTTTGACCATTTCACAAGGATTTGGCCCTTCATCTGTTTCTCTGGTTAAGGAGCATGACTGGTTTTTGTGCATCGTACATTAGTAAGATTAACAATCTGTTTTTATCTTTGTGGGAGAAGATTTCTGCTAATTCAGATAGTACTGAAATAAACATCAGTAGTCACAGTTCCTTGTTTAAATTAAAGAAAACCAAACTAACCATTCAGATAAATAAAATACACTGCTTTAGTCAAAGAAATAAACATCCTGCATGACTTCTTAGAACCAATACTTCCAGAATCATACACAAAATAAAAATAAACCATGAGTTTTATTAAAAGATTTTCTGTATTGCTTTCATTGACATTGCATAAATAATACTTAAAATATTTGATAAAGTTAATAAACTTTCAATAGCAATGATTGGTTATAGCATATGTCACCACAGAGTTATTGTGCTAAAATGCAGATACATGAGGAAGCCTGTTTGGAAGCATGTTATATACAGATTGAAAATTACAATGAAGGCCTATAAAAACTACTGGTTTCATTATGTGTACATCTCTATTACCCCAAATATCACAGACAAGATCATCCTGATGTTGGCATTGGGAGTAAATAACAGAAAACCTAATCAGATCTCATTCATATTTCAGTGATGAAGGAGACAAAGAAAATGCTGTCCAAACTAATAGCAGAACAGCAGGATAGAAATGGGACCAGTGACATGCTATTAATTAGCTAACCGTAAATATGAGTTAATGCTTTAGCTTATGTCTCTGAAATCTGTAATTGCTGATACTTAAGTGTAAATACTACACTTCACATTTGCCACAGGCTAACAAGGGACACAAGTTATTGCATCAAACTTGAAAGTCACAGATACGGTATGCTGCAAAATTGCTTTCTGTTTGAAACCTGCTTATATTACATTTCATTAAGTTAAGGTTTTTTTTTTTATTCCACTGTTGACAGTACACACATTAAAGCTAAGCTAGAGTGTTTTAAAAAAATTGAGCACCAAAACTCTACTTATCTTAGTAGCTCTCACTTGCACTTGAAGCAATCCTACCCATACACTACTGTGGAATATTACAGCAGCTTCCTTGCAATGAGTGGAGATGCCCAACGGAAGAAAAGGCAAGAAGACAGGGAATTTAGTTGTATAGATCTGCATCTGTCTTTGTCCCAGTGTTACCAGATTCACCTCCTCTTTCCTCTGCCAGGGCCCAGCCAAAAGGGAAGTCAAACCCCAGAAATACTCTAAAAGCGATGTGCATGAGGAAAGCTGCATCAGCCAGAAGGAAGCAGAGTCTAATAATAACCATCTGAATAGCACCCAAAGGTCATTCTGTCTGCTTGTGTGATGTTATGCTACATCTGCATTTCATAATGTACCTTAGTTATAGAAAAGAGAGAATAGATCGGTACTGCATAGTGGGAACAAAGATGAAATAGTGCATTTAGTCAATATAAGCCCACCCAGCTGCTGAGTCGTTTACTGCTTTCTAGAAGGGTTGAGGCCTACAGGGAAAGGCAAGTCATGTACCCATTTCCCACCAAACGTGCTCAATTTCCTATAGCGAGCACTGTGTATAAATGCAGACAGTCACAACAGTTAATCAAACTGTCATGGACTAGAGCCAATTAGAACATTGGGATATGTTTACATAGTTCTGTGATGACATGGGTATTTCTTCCACTCCAATGTAACTTCCTTTTCAACCCAAGCGTAGATGGAATTCCAGTTTTATTCATGTGGCAACGAATGTATTGCTTGTGCCAAAGAAACACAGTCATCTCTACCACCATCTGCTTTTCTTTCAAAAATGGGAGAGGCTATCTCAATTAACTTCCTGACATGGACAAAGGTATTACTAATTGTATTCCATATTCTGCTCATACTCATCCAAATTATAATTTGATTTACCAACTCTGGCATGTTATCCTTAGGCAGAGAAAAATTGACATGAATTTATCCTGGCCTAGGATATGTGTATGCTGGTTTTATATATTACCATCAGCATCACCTACAGGTATCTACAGGAGTTAACAGGCTAAAGGCATAGAGATTGGCATGAAGGTAGTTGTAAATTAGAACCACCTTTCACATGCTTTTAATTTTAATGCATGAGTTGCAAGGACTCTGCTTAGCACGCAAGCCACCTATGTGTCCAGCCAGCTCTGAAGAAATTCTATGCTAGCAGTTGGATAAACTTTAGCCTTTGATGGTTAAAGCAGTTCCCACAAGATATAAAAAGTTCTCATTGGCACTGAGCACATACTAAAATGCCTCCATCGCTTCACCTCAGTGTTCCAAGCACCAGGGCACCATCCCAACTTTTCATGACCAAATGCTCTTATCTTGATGTTGCCCTTTTTTGTTATTTCTTGAGACAAACATGACATACCCTTGTCTTTTCTAAAGCCTGAACAAACCCAAACAGGCTTCCTTGCCTGTCCTGTGCTCCAGATGCCAACCACTTTGGTGGCCCTTCACTGGACTACCTCCAGCATGGCACTGTGGTACTGGGGAGCCCCAAACTGTACATAGCATTCCAGAAGTGGTCTCATTAGTGCTGAAGAGATGGCATGGATCAATTCTCCCAGCCGGCTGACTACACTCTTGCTAACATAGCTCAGGATGTAAATAGTCCTCTACTGCAAAGCACAGTACCCACTGATGTTAAGCTCCTTGTCCATCATGATACTCAAATCTTTTTCTGCAAACCTGTTTCTAGTCACTCTGCCCACAGCCTGTCCAGCTGCATGTCATTATTCTGTCCTGGATCCAAGACTTTGCATCTGCCTTTTGGAAACTTCAATAACTTCCTGAGAGCCCATTTCTGTTTAGGTCCTCATGAGTAACAGCTTTGGTCTCTACCTCCGTGCCTGCTGCTGCAGACCATTTGTGGTATCATCCACAAATATCTGCTCCTTCAAGTACTTCAATGGCAACCATGCTACTAACACGTATATGAAAGGGCCTTTTTCTTTTCCAAAATATATTCCAGCATATCATTGCCAAAAATCAATCCACACTACTAAATAATATGATCTTAAAGGATACCCGGCTTCTCTGCTTGCATCAGTGGCTTTGGGTCACAGGAGCGGCACAGCAGTTGGCTGTCACTAATAATGAATACTAGATTGGTGTTTGAAATCTTCTCTGCATGATAAAGTCTGGAAAAAAAGCCAACAAAAACCTGTGTTTAAATGAAGCAAGGAAATACGTATTTGAGAAGAACATGCAGTATTGGAATAGAAGTAATTCAACTTCACAGATTCAGTCTGCCTGCTACTGTTTGTCTTTTTCATTAATGAACAGCAAGCAACGTTTATAACAAATTATGTAATCTTCTTGACATTTCCATGGTCCCCCTTTCAACTAGACTTATTAGTGGAAAAAATGGAAAAGAGCATAAAGTGAATTTAATTGAGTTAATAGGTAGCTCTCTACTGCTACAACAGTAGTTGCACTGAGAAATAAAATCAGTCCAGCATCAATTCTTCCCCTAACAACACTGAGAAACCCCCCATCCACAACAAACAAAGAAAATCTAAATTTCCTGGAAAGTCAGACAGACCTTCAGAAAAATCCTAAAGAAATAAATCTTAATACTTAGTCATTAATAAAATATGTTCTAGCTGTCAAAAAGAGGTAAATTCAGGACAATCTATCAGGTTAATTACTTTTAGAGGATTCAAATACATTTTAATACATATAAGCCAACAAATATACACATAAATCAACAAACAAGTCTTTTAATATAGGTGGTTACCACTCTATATAAGCAGAGTTTTATTACTTAGGTGTGAATTGATTGGACTATTTCTGAAACTTCACAGATGATGAGATTGTACCACTGTTTTGGTACAATAAGAGGACAAAATAACTGTTAATTGAATAACTTATGTAGTGCTTATGTATCTGGTTGTTCTAACCAGCTTAAATTGTCCTTTCATATTCATTCCCACACTGTGGCATTATTTTTGCAATATTAGTAAAATGGTTTCTGCAGCCTCTCAGTAAACTGGAGAACTCTTCTGAAAACACTCCAGATTAAAGAAAACAAAACAAAGCAACAAAAACAACCCACAAACAAACAAAAAAACAACCCCCAAACCAAAACCAAAACCAAATCAAAAACCTTACAGAAAACAAAACCAAAACCCCAGCTTGAGTTCTCTGCAAACCAGGTACTGCACAAACAAATACTAGCAACAAGGAGAAGGAAGTATGGAAGTGGGAAAAAAATGTCCTCACGTTTTGTCTGTATTCCCTAACTTAATTTTAATTTCTAAGACATTTTCAGAAATGCAAACTTTCAACCCAGCAGGATTTTGCAGTAAACACAGAACTAGGTCCAAATTGCTATGTTTCTGAAGTATCCAGTTTTCTTACCATTACATTAAACATCATTTTGATTAGGCACATGGAGCCTGAAAAGTAATTCTTTTAATCACAAACCAAAACAGCATGGTTTGCTTAATAAGATCCACAGCTCTTAAAACACGAGCACTAGTGACTAGAAAGTAAATTTGAAGATAAATTGCATAATCTTCTTGACCATCAAAAATTCCAGTACATAACCAGATTAAAGAAAATCATCTCCTTCTGAATATTGTGGAATGCCTTCAAGTTGACATAATAAATTTAAAAAACCCAAACTGTAACAGGGATAGAAATACAATTTTCATGGAGCTTATACAGACTATAAAACAAAAATCTGACTAAAATTCTTTAATTATTACAATTAAAATTTGTTATAAATAAATACAAAGAAATGCAATGTATCATTTTACTTCCCATATACCCCTCTCTCTTATGTAAGTCTGGTGTAACTAATCAAAAATTTTTTGTTCCTATAATACTGTCATTATCTTTTGGAAAATAAACGAATACCCAGAAGTTATTACTCATGCTGAAGCAATTTTACCTGGAGCAGTTTATACAGTCTACAATCCCACCAAAGGATTTATCATCATTTTCAAAGAAATACTGAGTTTGCTCAGTGATACAGCTTGTTTTAGGCAGGGCGGCACCAAAATCATCATCTTCCATATCAGCTGACAGAAAGACAAAAATAAATAAATATAAAACGACATTTTTAAGTCACAGATGCAATGGGGAGATCCAAGTATGGCCCCCAGCCTAGATTCTTACCTTCTACTTCACTCAAAGTTGACTCTTTAACATTCTCTTGACTTACCTGCTTCAAGGAAACGTGGAAAAGTCAAGCTCAAAAACAGCTGCTGTAAGATAGACCTGAACACAGAAAGACAATATATACTTGTTAAAGGCTCTTTGTCTTCTTTGTATTTTAATGGATCTTTAAAAACTACTCAAATAAGAGTTATAAACAACAAAGTCATCACAGCTTATTATGCTTTTGCCAGTTATTAAAGCTGTCTTTCTTGAAACCTTGCAGTTTGACTCTGGTTTCCTTTTCTCACTTTCTCCCAGGTCTTCTTTCACACTAATCTTTTATTCTGCTGTTGAGATTTGGTATCATTTGTGTCCATAACTCACATAATGGAAATGTTATCTTGTCATCCATGTCCTCCTTTTACACCCCTGTGGGAGGTGGAAAAGGCATGTTGGCATTCCT